TTCTCGAAATGGGGAATTTTCCAGCCCGGTTTTGTATTTTTTTTGGCTATCAGTATCAGTGAGTGAGTAAAGGCAGTAAAGCAAAGCGGCAAATCTGCAAAAGGTCATAAAATGTGTTTACTTGCCGGTCGTGTAAATTTTTACACGCCGAATCGCAGCAACAAAAAACCCAAAGCCGCCACAGTGACTGCAACTGACATGCAACTTAGAGACAGAGACTTGGCTATGCTAACGTTTAAGCTCAAGTTAAAAAACTTAAAGTTTGGAGCTGACTGCGAGGAGCATTCAACTGTCAACAGTTACTACCGAAACGACAAGAGCCGCCAAATGCCGCCAAATAACTCAGAGCTCTCAAATCCGCCATTTCGGCAACTACAAATCACTTTTACTGCCTGCTAACTTGGCCCAAAGTTGGGCTCCAGCAGCAGCTCCGACCGTCCACTCTCGAATGGCCGAAAGGCAGCCAAAAACAAATCACAGTTGCCGCCGAAAATCGCTGTGGTAAAAAATTATATAAAGTATAAATAAAATTCTCTAAATATTTGCGCGTCGATTTTCCATTTAGCCGCCGCAGACAGCCATCGCCGAGCTGGGCAATTAAGGTGCAATAATTTCGGATCATTAGGTTAAATTTGTCACGACCCGCTGCACGACTTTAACCCCCCCGTGTGGCCCCGGCCCTAGCTCCGGCTCCTGTCCGAATGAAAAAAAGAGAGACCCCAAGGCGGCGGCAGGCTGTCCGACAGAATGTAAAAGCTTAAGTCTCTGGACAAGTCGGAGAGCTGTCCATTTGGTGGCTAGTCGATGTCCATGGATTGGCCCCTGGCAGCCATAATTTCGGAGCGACGCCGAACTGTGGATTTTCATTGGGGCACTTGGAAAAATATTCAAGTCGATCTAGTTTGGGTTACTAATTTGCATATTTTATATTTTAATGTTTTTTAAATTGAGAAATAATTGGGTTAAGTTATTTTAAAGTGTCAGGAATTATAATTATTGGGTTAAGTTATTTTCGGGAAATCTATATTTAATTTTCGCAATATTTTATATATATGCATTTTAGCAATGGCTTTTCTCTTGGCCATCAAATGCCCCCAAGAACATCTTAAAAATGTATTAAAAATGATTTAAAACTATATCTATAGATTTTTGTACAAAGTTATATATTTATACCCTTAAATATATATTAATAAATTAAAATATCAATAAAATTTTATTAAATTATTGTTTATAAATATTTAAGCTATTTATGAAAATAGTTTAAAATATCTAAAACGTATTTCTCTCTTGTATTTCCAACTCCCCTTAATTATAATTATTTAATTTCTTTAATTTATATTTTTAAATATTTTTCATGAATATTTCAAATATCTATATTGTTTATAAAACTAAATCCCCCTTTTTTCTCACTGCATAATTTCGCTTATGCACTAGGTGGCGCTTTTTACAAATTATGACACAATTTGCGGGCCAAATTTGGTAAGCGGTTGACATTTGGCCATGTTTCTTGTCGATTGTCATCGTCATCGGCTATCGGGCATCGGCTTAAACCGACTGAAACCGTCTGGCAAACTGAGCGCTATCAACATGGCATGTTGACAACGCACGCCGGCAACATGCAACGTGCAACGCGCTAAGTCTAATATGCAATATGCAACATGTTGACGCGTGGGCGAGATCCTCACAGACTCTCGACTGCCATTTTCATGTAATCCCAGCTATTAGTAGGGGATGGAGACACCAAAGAGGGAAGCTGGATGGAGGGGCCTTGTGGCGAGTGCATCCAAAAGTTGCATTCCACAAATCGATTTCGCTGCGCACACGCACTGACCGCAATTTTGTGGCTATGCTACATGAATCATCGCAGTCTAGAGATGGTGCCTTTTATTTCGATATATATTTGTTGATCGATTTTAAAGATAATCAAGGAAATTATCGGGAGTTTGTAAGAATTTCGAAATAATTAAGATGTGGAATTATAGAATTTAAAAGAATAACAATAACTATTTAATTCTATGTACCTTAAATTTAAAAACTAAATTCCCTTTAAATAATACAATTTCAAACTCTTTAAAATACCTTTAGAAATTAGGTTATTCCCCAGAATTTATGTAAAAAAAACTACAAAAAATATCCTTTAAATCCTCAACCTCAACCAGTGACCCATCTCTAGCAATTATTCGCATTTTCCAGAGCCCCTTCTCTCCCCCTGCCTTTTGGCAAACGGACAACCCCCTGGGCCAATGTGTGTGGCATTTCTGTCACTTGACGCTGAATTATTTTCACGCCTTTTTACAAATGTTTGGCTTGAAAAGCCACAGCCACAGCCAAGGCGGGGGCGACAAACTGCAGTGTGTGTTCCACTTATGGCCAACATTCGGACCCAATCCCAGAGATACATGGCCAAGACAGTGTCAGAGACCGAAACCAAGTCGGACTCGGACTTGGAGTCGGTCAGCATGGAGATTTGCTCATAAATCTGACAAACTCAGCGCTAATATTTGCGGACTTCGTTAGACACACTCGAATGCATTTGATATGCCTTAAACGGGGCCTGAGAGAGATCTCCGTAGGAATACTATGTAGGAATCGGAGTTGCGGATGCAGGCTGGGAGTGGGAGGGTGGTGGTTGCTCTGCCCAGGTCTTTTGCCTCTGCCAAATGACAAGTGTAAAAGCTGACAAGGCGGTGGTGTGGTTACTAAAATGAAATGCAGACAACATTTTTATCTGATTAAGGCGACGACCAACTGACCAACTGGCAGAGTAAACCGGCAACAAAAAAAAAAGGAAAAGTGATTTTGCAATGGGTGTACACGGTGGGAAAACGGGGGAAATTTAAATTATTCAAATTCGAAATTTTAAATAAATAAGTAAATAAATTTCATAAATTTTTACACTCCGGGAAAATGGGGAACTTATGCAAAATTAAAATTATTGAAATTCAAAAACTGAGATAAAAAAAATATATAAATTATTAAATTAAGGAAAATAAAATTAAATACTTTTTAATATAAAGAGTTTAATGATTTCCTGGGCCTAATTTAATTTTTAAGATTTTTTTTATAAAGAGATATTTTCTGAAATATTTAAAGAAAAACTAAGGCGTACTTTAATGCATCAAAAATAGGTTACTAATATATAATAGTATTTAATAACATTAAATGTTTTAATAAAATTTTATTTTATTTTTTTTTTTTTTAGAAAAAATAAAGTTAATTTTAAGATATTAAAACCAGGATTTTAATTTGTAATAGAATTTAATAAAATTAAATGTTACAATTAAATGTTTTTTTATTAACCCAAGCAGGATACTTATTTGTTAAAGTATTTTAAATAAATTAAATGCTTTTTTTAATACGATTTTTATAAGCCTTAAAAGATCACAGACTTTAGTGATTTACCGCTTTAATTTTCCCATAGTTACAGACTTTTTTATGACACTAATTGAATGTAAATTGCTTTTGACAATTCTCCTCGTAAAGTCTGGAGCATTTAGCATTTTTTTCTCAATAGTTTTTATTTCCATTACTGACTTAGACTTATTGCAAAAACCCCACACACACACACACTCCTTCCATTAGCTTAAATTATGACATCCATGGGGAACATCATCAATCTAAAGCTCACTCTAGATGCCCTGACCTTTTCCACTCACCTCGAAAGGCACTAGTTTAAGCCACTAATTCAATTTTCATTTATCACGGCAACTAATTAATTTCCCGCTGCGCTTTGACCACTAACCAAATGAATTTTCTTGCTGGACGTTTTAATTATTTAAATGCAGGCCGAAGGCTGCCGGCCCAGGCGCAGGCAGCACTCAAATCGCGAATCATAGCTCATAAATCCATCAAAACGGCAATTGCAGTAGTGGCCACAAGGAGGCCAAGCCGAAGCCGAAGCCAAGTGCCATGCAAATGTTGTTCAACATTAAAAGCTACAAGAACAATCAGAAAGACATGAGCGGCATATTGCTGTTCTTGCGAAAAGAACAATTGTTTTAGTAGCAATTGTTGTGTGCCCGTTTCGGGGGCTGCCGGACTTTGGCTTGGACCTGGCCTGGCTCACGATTCGATTTCACATTGAAATGTTACTTTTAGTTTTTAGTTTTTTCTTTTTTTTTTCTCCTTTAGCAACTGCTGCCCTCCCTATGCCGTGACCGTGAATTGTTCAGAATAATTTGCAATTGCCATAATATTTATTATGATTTATTAAACGCATTCTCCGGGCCCCGACTTTAGCTTGATTGTCTGCCGTTTCTCGGGCAAGGGTCCTCGACTCTGTCTGCTCATGTTGCTGCTGCCAGTTGTTGGGACCGCAATTAAATTGTTTACTTTGGCTGGCAATTTATTAAAAATGCATTAAATAAATAAATCGCTTGCCATTCAAGATTTTATAAATCGAAAGACTTGGGCAACGAACTTGCTTTCGATGGAAATGTCATCGAAGCAATTTGTCCGGGAGAATTATCAGCATACAGACTGAATTTATTATTGTATAACTACTTTTGTTGTAATGTTCTTATTATATTAAGTTAATATTCCTGATATTCCCATTTTAAGATACTTTTCCCAGGCTATCCTTATGAATTTCCTCACAGATTTTCATACTTTTTTAAGAGGAACAACACATGCCTGCCTACATCATTCACTTTGCCACCCATCGCTCTACTCCAGCAACTAAACGTCCGCGAAAATGACTAATTGCCCCACCGTCAGCGAGGAAAATCGCACACGCGATGCTTCGGGGCTGTCTTGGAAAAGCCATAGAAACGACAGTTTGTTTGGCGGGATCAGCCCGGGGGCCACTAATTAAAAAAGTGCCATCAAAGTGTGGCCACCTTGGCAAGGCAAGGCCCAAGACACACAGTGTTTGCGTGTCAGCTGGCGGGATAAAGCCGCTGATTTTATGGCCTAACTTTTTCCTCAGCTTAAAGTCAGTGCTGAACGATTGGATTTTTTTCAGAAAAAGAAAATAACATTAGCGTAGGCTAGGCATTAAATTTAATTTCGAAAACAAAACAAATCAAAACCCATCTCGTAGTCATGAGCTCAATAACCCTACTTAATGACAGCCTGTCGCCGCAGGTCATCCGCCAGGTAATGCGGGAGCTGCAGGACATGCAGACGGAGTCGCCGGAGGGCATAAAGCTCCTCATCAACGAACGCGATGCCTTGGATATCCAGGCTCTTATTGAAGGACCCATTGGCACACCCTATGCCGGTGGTATTTTCCGCATCAAACTAACCCTAAACAATGATTTTCCCAGCACTCCGCCAAAGGCAATTTTCCTTACCAAAATCTTTCACCCGAATGTCTCCCTCACCGGGGAGATTTGTGTGAATACATTGAAAAAGGACTGGAAGCCGGATCTGGGCATTAAGCATATACTGATCACCATCAAGTGCCTGCTGATTGCTCCCAATCCAGAGTCAGCCCTAAATGCAGAGGCTGGCCAGATGCTTCTGGAGCAATACGAAGACTACTCGAAGCGGGCACGCATGATGACAGAGATTCATGCCAAGTCGGTATATGCTGGAGAGGCCAAGCCAGCAGAGTTGCAGGAGCAGAAGATGAAGGACACACTCAAGGAGAAGCTGCTCAAGGAGAAGAAGCGAGCGCTGAAGAGGCTTTGAGAATGGGTAGTAAATAATAATAATAAAAGCGGGATCAGGAGCAGGACTACATGAAGAGATAGATATAAATACAAAGGTGTTGAGTGAATTAAGTTGAAAAGGGAGTATAATTCTATACTGTACAATTTTAATTCCGATTATATAAAGTTTATAATGTTTAAAAAATTATAGAACATTCCAAAAAGAATAACTAAAATGATGAATTTATTAAAGCCCGCTAGCTTATCCTTCTCCTAATTTATCCTTACTTTAAATTACATTTTAAGCATCTCTACCTGGACTCTAGTAAAAGTATCTGTGGCCCACTGGGTGGCATTTCCAGCAACATTGGCCGAGTGAACAGCAGCCGCAATATAAACAAACACATGTCGGAGGCTAGACCGCACTCTCGTACCATATATACACATATATCCCGGTATATGCAAAACCATATTCCCATGAACATGGTAACCACTTGCTACAAATTGTCGAACAAGAGCAGCAGCTCTGCGAAAAAAATATATATAAAAAAATGGCAAAAAATGGCAGCGCTTTAAACGGATGCAGATAACGATCGTCGAACACAAATGGTGCAGAAATAAACACGAGTGTAGATGCAAATGATATGATAAGGGGGCTGTGGGGAGGGTATATACTACTACTGGCACTACTGTGCCTGCTTAACCCATGGCTGCCCCATGTCCATCACGAGTGCAGCATAAATTGGCACTATGCAAATTAAATTATCAACTAGAGTCCCCCCGGTGCAAACGAGTTTTCCACTCGGGCAAATTACTGTCAGCGACAAGTCGCCTCAACTAAAATGCAATGAATGCGTCCCCCTTAATCGAACAGGGAGGGAGGTGGGGGTCTCCTTAGCCCCTCGTTACCCCCTGCCAATTATGTGTAAGACGGGCAGCAGCCTAACCAGCTGGTTAAGCACATAAACGATACCCGCCGCATGCCGCATCATTATAATCACGTGTTGATTGCTTTTTAAACTCTGCCGAACTGGTCTGAGTTTTTTTTTTCTTCTTGACCAATTTTGCAGCCTGTCTTGCGTTCGTTCTGGCCTTTAATTTCCATGCCAGGGAGATGGCGCCTTCTTGGCAAAAAACAAGAGCATTCTGCATTATCGCCGCAGACGGGCAGCTTGTTAAGCAAATGCCGATAATTAGATGGGGGGACCAGGACCTGGTCCTGGGGTATCTCTGGGGAAAGACTGGTTCACACATGGGATAATGGGTCACTCAAGGCGGCGGAAGAGGAGGTAGAGCAGGCAGCTGAAAGGGGGGAAGGCGACAGGAAACCCCGGTTGACATACAAAGCGAAAGGGGATAATCGCCGGTTACACTGCCATTTAAAACTATAAATAAATTGAGACATTTAAAACAATTAGTAAAGGGAAATTTAATTAAAGTGTGAACAAGGTGGAAGCATAGGTAGTTTGTGAAGGTTTTACTGGACTTTATTTAAATTTCAAATAAGCTTTTAAAAAGAAATTTTAAATTATATTTTGAAGTTTATCTTTGGTTCTTATTCATCCCATTATTTTTAGGAAATATTTTCCCTTTTTTAAAGTATTTAAAAATTATTTTTTAAACTTTCTTTAGGGTTCTATTATATCCCATTAATTTTATTGCTTATTTCCCCTTTAAATATATTAATTTAGATATTTTTCCTGCAGTGCTTTCTTATACTAAATTAACCTCTGCCTCAACCCGTCCCAACTGTGGCCAATTGCCAAAAAATATAAAATGTCTTAATCCCAAGAAAAATGACGAGCCCGCAGGTTCGGGGTAATCTAAAAAAAAACAGAAACCGCCCCGAGTTGCCCTTCGCCTAACCAATTTTCCACTCCGGCGGCGTCATCGCCGACCCACGCTTTTTGGCCAGTGAAATTGTTCCACGAATGGAAAGGAAGCCTCGTCCACATATCAGCCGCGAACTGAGCATATAGAAATTATAATGAAGACATCAACAACATACAGCCGCAACCACTGAGTAAATCGCCAGCCAGCCCACTTTGATTTTTATGGCCAACTTTAAGACAAAAACCCAGCCACAAAAGGGGGGTTTCTACGACCTCTCACCGGGCGGAGAGCAGCGGAGGCATCTGAGGCATCCAAAGACCCAGCTCTGGAGTAGTAGGTGGTGCCCAAAACAAATTGCAGGCAATCGCAGAGCCGTAAGTATGCTAAATTATCAGGCGTCGTCTCTTTGCAGATGCGAGGATACTCTTATGGGGGTATCAGGGGTGCTTGGAAAGTCTATAAAAGATGTTCTGGGAGGTTTGGGAAACTGTATTTAAATATTTGTGGGGGAAGTTTAAATATTTAAAGGGAATTTAAAACTAGAAATAATATTTTTATAATTTATTTTAAAGGTTTTATGTAATTTTTAACAAATTATATCAGAAAAGAGTAGTATTCTTAAGGTTTTAAGGCATTTAAAAAATTCCTTTATACCTTAGTATAATTTTCGTAATTTTTTTATTGAGTTTAAAATCCATAGAATATAATTAATTGTATTTTTCCTGGTAAAATATAAAATATTCCCCCACCAAGAGTATTCCCTTCTTCGTTACATCCCCCCATTTGTTTGTTTTAACATCAATATTTTTCGGAGTTTTTCCGGGACTTTTCAATAATGGACTTTGAATGCTGGCGGCCGTATAAACAAACAAACCGCAGACAAAAAATAAGCCTTCATTGGTGTATTATTATGAGAAGTATTAACATTATTATTGGACGCTGGACAATTTCGGGGCAATAAAAGACACAAATTGCTGCTAATAATGATGCTGAATATTCGCTTGGCCTGGACTGTTAACCCACTCTTACCTCGGGTTTTTCATCGGCAGCCAGTTCGTTGCCTAAGTCTTTTGTTTTGTCTTCGCGTGTGTGTGTGTGTCTTTGTTATTATTTTACATATTTTATTTAATGCTACGATAGTTTCATGCTTGTCATGTTCTGCAGCCAAGAAATTGAACGTTTTTTTTTTTTGCGACTTTTTTCCTCCCATGTTTTCTGTGCACTTTTTTGGCCGCTGCTGTGAAACATTTGTCATTTTTACCATTTTTAGCCAAGCGTGACAAGCGTTTCTTAGCTAGTTTCACCCACTGGCGCATGCAAATGTGCAACAAGACACCACCAACAATGGGGCAGTGTGTGTGTATGAATTGCTTTTCGATATGCGATAAAGATCTCAAATATTGTTAAAACAAACAAGAAATTTATTGAATATGCAATGTTTACTCTTTTTTTGTTTTTTTGTTGTATTTTTACTCTTTGCTGTTTTGCATTTGTCTCTGGCCAGGTGAACACCACCACCAGCACGGCGGTTTATTGTTTTATTTATTGTAGGTGAGAAGTCAAATATTTGTGGGTGGCAGTCGGAGTCACAGTCACAGAAGCACACAAATGGCACATCTTGGCCTGCGGTCTTGGCAGCCTTATTTTTATGTCAGGCGGATATATGTATGCTCGCTCTCTGGCCGGCCATATAAGTCTTAGGCCCGACCCGGGACCCGAGGTTAATTCCAGCATTAAAAGGCAAGACAAGCCTCACATTTATATTGGGCGGAAAAAGTGATGCAATCTGCGATCAGAGATGAGAATGTTAAGATGCTCAGAGTTGGAGTGGGGGGGCTGTACCAATGATATATAGTGCTGGGGGGCGGAAGTGTTGTCCTTATATATAGTCACAGATTATAGATAACCGATCAGGGGAGTAGCGGTTTTTGGTTGAAAAAATGTCAAGCGAGGATAAGCTTATAGTTTCATGGGGTAAGATGAGTTTTTTAAGTGTTAAATTCAAGTTGAAGATAAAGTTAGCTTAGAAATAGTAAGAAAAACCTTGGGGGATATTTTTTCTTTCCAATTTCTTCTTCTAAATTTATTAGGGAATATTTTCTTAAAAATTTCTTATTCACAAACCCCATAAAACAAAATTATTTTGCGTTAAATTACAGACTCCTTCCCTTTCCTTGCCGGCTTTGTTTATTTTGATAGTCACAGATTAACCACCGATTTGAATCCTCTTGATCGCCAGCCCACGCTGTTATATCCTCTCCTCTTCTCGATTTCCGGCCATCTTATGCTCTTCTGGCACTTGTCTCCATATAATTTGCTGCACTTATTTAGCAGCCCACGCAGCAGTCGAAAAAAAAACAGAAAACAAAACAATATACGTAGAAACGCAGACAAATTAGCCGGGGCCAGACTTTCGGCCCAAGTCGCCTTTCACACATATATATATTTTTGTATTTTTTTCGGGCCACTTGCAACTTGCAACAACACACAAAAAAGGGGACCCCAGAGGCGAGGTCAAGACATAGGAGCATGGGAGCGGGACAGATGAGATTGCACAACCGGCGAAACCCGATTTGCATATGGCGATTTAGATTTAGTTTTGGTCTTTTTTTTCAGCTTAATTTTCTCAGTTTTCTCGGTTTTCCTTTTTACCGTTTATCCCCCAACTGAATGTCGCCAAATCCACCTGTTGACTTGTCGAGCCACAAAAAAACAAAGCCGAATACTTTGCATATTGGACTAAGCCTAATCAATGAAGATTTGTGTAAGAAGAACTTGAGAGCTGCAAAGGCTTTGGCTGTGGCTGTCCCTCCTCTCCCTGTTCTGGCCATGTCTGGTGGGCGTAGACCAAAAATATATAAAGAAAAAAAAATCAAGAGAGAACCTAAGGAAGAGCTAAACAAAAAGCCAAGCGACGACGTGAGGCTCACCATTGTCTGGTGAAGATAATCTGTGATTCGGAAACTCCCACAGGTCAGGCGAGCACATCAATTACTTTGGCACAAGTCCAAGACAAGTTGGCACTGCGAGAAAATTATAGTTTATATAAGGTTCTAAAATATAAAGAAAAAATCCAGGGAAATGAATTTATCAAATTTAAAAGGATATATATTTCTTTGAGAGACATCTTAAGAGCTTTATTTGTATTTTCCCAGAGTTTTCTTGGCCAAATTTGTAACCAAAATTAATCCCATAATTCCCACTAATTTCTTTTATATTTTGTTTTCAGTGTATTTTATTCCTTGGCGGCCTTAAGGAACAGCAAAGTCAAAAGTCTCTTGCATCGTAGCATCGAATCGGGAATCGAAGCGCCAGTGAATGGCAAGAGAATGACCTCTCAATTTATTGTGCAGCCTTTATCCTTTTGGCATATGCGATTTGTATCGACTTAAGCACACACTAACACACACACACACACACACGAACCCCCCTTAAACCTTAACC